AACCCTGAACCCTAAACCCTAATTAGACCTGATGCCCTGATTCGACCGTAAGCCCTAAATCCTAAACCCTAAACGCTGATGCCCAAAATTAGACCCTAAACCCTAATCCCTGAACCCTAAACCCGAAACCCTGATGCCGGAAACTAGACCCGAAGCCCCAAAAACTTCTCCTCGCAGGACGGGGCGTGTCCTACTTGATAGCAGGCCTTTACTGCGTCCGCCCCGACGCGCTTGAGCTTTACACAGCGGCCTGGGCTGGGGTTTATTTGAGGTTTGGGGTTTAGGCTGTAGGGTTTAGCGTTTAGGGTCCTACAATATTACCAAGATTATTTTGGGGGCTCCTTATTATACTTATAGTATAATGGGCCCCAAAACCCCATTCTAATTGTTAAGGCCCCTACACTAGAGTTTAGGAGTCGTGGGCTGTTTCAGGGGCTTCAATGTAAGAGCGGTATACAAGGACTTTATGCTGCCTTATACCGTGGGCATTGTAGAAGTACCCCTGAACCCCTAAACCATAAACCCTAACAGGGGTTGGTTCCCCTTTGTACTTTGAAGCTTCATACGTTATGTAGAACAGAAAGAACGAAAACACACAAGGAAAAGGGCACCACACCTTACCCTGGCTGTACTACTAAGGGATACACGGGCGAAGCTAAAAGTACTGAGCCTTAAGTAGGACGGATGCTTTGTCAAGATCTCTAAACGGAGCCACTCAGTGTTTAAACCCTAGACCCTAAGCCTTAAACCCTAGACACTAAACCCTCAACCCCAAACCCAAAGCCTTAAACCCTACCTTAACCTACCATAACCCACTTTGTTGTAGGTTCTTATTATAAACCCTACTATGGGATTTATAGGGACCCTACAAAAAAGTGGGTTCTGGTGGGTGAAAGCAACCTCTAAGGCTGTATTTCTCCGAGATCCGTGCCTTTCGGAGAGTTTTTTCTTTCTTCATCACCCTAAGGCTCCATCTGCCAATACAGTATATGCTTAGGCCTTAGAAAGGGTTTAGGGTTTAGGATAGTGTATACTCAGGCCTTAACCAAGGCTTCCTATGTAGGTATTGTGAAGGCCTTAGTACATAGCGTTTAGGGTTTAGGGTTTAGGGATATGTAAAAGTACAGGTACATGGAGCCTTTGGGATAGCTGTCGAGCTCTCACTGGGAACTGCCGCTGCGCGGTGCGTCTCGAGATCCTCCCTGCCCGGTGTTCACAGGTATTTCGGGGTGCAGGATCCGGGTTCATTCAGGTGTACTTCGGGGGTCTTAGGGTTTAGGGTTCAGCTTTGTGAACTTTGTACTAAGTAGTACACCCCGAAACCCTAAACTGTCGGGAAGGAGGAAACCCGAGCGTACCGGCGTGTCGCGACCCACCTCAAAGGAGCTGCACCCGGGCATCATCCAGACACAAGCAGGAGATCAACTCTTGCTGAAGTTTAGGGTTTAGGGGTTACGGTTTAGGGTTTAGGGGTTGGGGGTTAGGGTTTTAGGGTTTAGGGTTTTAGGGTTTAGGGTTTAGGGACCAAGACTATTTTGGGGTTCCTTATCATAACTATATTATACTCTACCCTCAGATCCTATTCTAATTCCGAAGGCCCCTATATTATACGAATCGTGTCCCTTCGAGAGGGGGGGCGCCTCGAGTTGCTCGGGGAGGGGTTTAGGGGTTTAGGGGTTTAGGGTTTAGGGTTTAGTATTTAGAGTTTAGGGTTTAGGGTTTAGGGACCTCTTCTCCAGCCTGTGGAACTTGCTGGAATCAGCGTTGGTGTAGCTCTCAGGGTTTAGGGTTTATCATGCTATGAAGCCTGCTTTCCATGCTGCATAGAGATAGGCATATCGGAAGACTTTGATTCTGTGAATGCAAAGATTGCAGTTCGCAGCTTAGTGATGAGGCACCCTGAGGGTACTTTACATCCAGTGACATCTATCCTACACGCCGATTTCCGAACTCCCTCCCAAAACCCTAGGCCCTAGACCCCATGCTCTCGACCCTCAAGGAAGGCCTTCAACGATGTTTAGCGTAGATCTCAAAATGAAGCTACCCCAAAGCTGCCTCGAAATAAACCCTAGTTACCTAGTTGAACCGTAAGCCTCTTATGTACAATGTAGACTGAATTTTGAAGCCCTTGGCCTCCGAGCATTTATACCATACCCTGATTCGATGAACAGGCTGGGGCGCGATCCATAGCGGTATCGCAGGCTGTTGCGGCTTTTGCTCTTGTGTTGAAGGTCTCAGATGGTCCCTTGCAGGTAGGTAGGGCTTGCGTATCCATCATATTAGGTCTCTTGGTCGCATTCGCTCACCTGCTTTCATCCTAGCATTTGGAGATTTTGAGTGTTTGGGAGGTGGGGTCTGGAGGTGTGGGCTTGCAGTCTGGCGAGATGGGTTGGTGGTGTTCGAAAGGCTTTAGGATGCATTTAGGTATGGCTTGAGATCGTACATTGTTTTTCGGAGTGTTTGAGGTTGTGGATCGTGGGCAGGCTGAAGCCGCAGGAGAGTACGTGTCCAATTTCTTTGGCTTCTGCTGGTGCCTCGCTTGCAGATACTGTTTGGGAAGTTAGGGTTTATGGTTTAGGGCAGATATTGTTTGGGGATAGCGGTTTAGGGCTTGGGGCAGATATTGCTTGGGAAGAGCGGTTTAGGGTTTAGGGCAGATATTGTTTGGAACGATCGGTTTAGGGTTTAGGGCTTAGGCAGATATTGCTTGGGAAGAGCTGTTTAGGGTTCAGGGCTTAGGGCAGATATTGTTTGGGGAAAAGCGGTTTAGGGCTTAGGGTACATAGTCAATAGTGTTTGGGAAGTTTGGGTTCAGGGCTTAGGGCAGATACTGTTTGGGGAAGAGCGGTGTAGGGCTTAGGGTAAATAGCCAATAGTGTTTGGGAAATTTGGGGTCAGGGCTTAGGGCAGATATTGTTTGGGGAAGAGCGGTTTAGGGCTTAGGGCAAATAGCCAATAGCGTTTGGGAAGTTTGGGTTCAGGGCTTAGGGCACATATTGTTTGCGATCCTTTGAAGGAGCTTGTTGTTTCTGTTCTGCGCATAGCCCGATAGAGGGCCATGAACCATTACAAGACTGTGTTTTTATTCAGGTTGATGATTGATTATTGTTAGAAAGTAACCCTAACCCCCCAGTTAGCTACTATATAGGGTACGAGGGCCCCTACCCTATATAGTAGGTACCTGGGGGTTAGGGTAACAGAGGCATTCTTACCCGCGTCTGATGATTTGAGCGTAGAAGAACCGATAACCTCGAGTCAACCCTATGCCTACACCCTAAAACCTGCAGCATGACCCCTGAAACATCAAGCCAGGTTTAGGGTTTAGGGTTGTAGGGGTTCTGGATTTAGGGCTTAGGGGTTTACGGTTGAGGTTTTGGGGGGGTTTAGGGTTCAGGATTTAAAGTTTAGGGTTTTGGGGTTTAGGGTTTAGGGTGAAGCATGTAGCCCTGAGCCCTACGCACTGAGCCGTCAACCAAAGACCTTTGTGGCGAAGATGAGTTCGTTACACAGAGCCCTCTACGTTTGATCCTGAACCCTAAACCCTAAACTCTAAGCCCTAAACCCACGTCAGAAGCAGCCATGTCCCCTGGACTTCTCAGTGCAATGGAGTACTCGTACCGTAATGGATCAGGACCTGAATACATACCAAGAATATTCCCCAGGGATCATACCACGATGCATCCCAAAAAGCCTGTTTCGAATTTTTGCGTCCCCGAAGTATCGCGTCCCCTGCATTAACCCTGTATTCCCCATATAAGGGGCTTTGGTAGCGAGTGCTGCAAGCTGCGAGCTCACCCCAAGACTTTGACCGAACAAGCCTCAGACAAAGAGTCCAGAGTAGAAGCCGAAATATATTACCAATATTCGTCATTGGGGTTTCCTATATTATAGCAAAACGAGAAAGGAGCCCGAAACCCTTGTTGAAAGTATTCAGGCCCATACAATTGTCAACTCACAGCGCGAAGCGTGTCGGCACATCCTTTCTTAAATCTCGATCCATCCCCTACACCTTAGAGGGATTGAGATGCTGAGGCAGAATCCTAAGCCAACGACCTCTGTAGCCTCTCAGCCGTGAACCCTAAAACCAAAGCCATAAACCTGAAGACCCAAACCCTAGACCCTAAAACATTTACTTTAAGCCCTAAACCTCAAAATGAATTCTCAAACCCTAAACCCTAAAATTTTTACACTTTAAGCCCTAAACCTCAAAGCAAACCCTAAACCCTAAACCTCAAAATGAACCCTCAAACCCAAAAACCCTAAACCTCAGAACTGTTCGACCTTAGGGTTTTCGGTTAAAGGTTTAAGAAGTTGAGGGGTAGGGTTTCGAGGTCGATGGCATCCCTAAACCCTAAGCCCTAAACCCCTAATATTAATATAGGGGCCTTAAGTTAGGGCTTTTAGGGTTTATAGGGTTTAGGATTTAGGGTAGTTGAATAGGGCCCTAAACCCTAAACCCCTAAAAAAAGAGCCTTAGTAATGAGAAAAGGGTTTGGGGGGTATCTTACACTGAAACTATAATAAGGAACACCCAAAAATATATATTCTAATTATTATTCAGGCTCCTTCATTCCCTTCATTAATTGCCAAGATGATTCCGTGGTATTAAGGCTCCTATTTTCCGCCCGAAGCCATGAGTCCCTAATCCCGAGGTACATGTGCTGTCTTGCGCTCATCCTCGGCAGTGTGGCATCCTTCTGGGCGTGGAGCTCAGAAAGGCACTTCAGTTTGAGTTTAGGGTTTAGGGTTTAGGAGATCATGGCTCCGGATGGCCGGATAAATTTGGGGTTCTAGGGTTTAGGGTTTAGGGTTCAGGGTTTAGGGTTTAGGGATTAGGCGGTTTAGTATGACCCTCTACGGCTGGGCATACACATGCACCTATTGCTTCAGGGCGTAAGGTCTAGCAATAGTGCCTACTTTGGACTCTTCAGATTTTTTCGGAGCCTCACGGCGCTCAAGCAAAGCCGAACCTCAGCCCTGAACCTTTACAACCGTCAAACCCAAACCCTAGACCCTAAACCCTAAACCCTAAAAGCCCTAAACCCTAAACCCAAACCCTAGGCGCTCCACATCCTGCGTTGAAGCTTACGTGCAGATTCTTAAAGTGAAAGGGTTTAGGGTTTAGGGTTTAGGGTTTAGGGTGCTCTAAACTTGGAGACCTTCTGATCGCGAAACCCTGAACTTCACCTAAATCCTCAACACTATAAGCTTAAAGCCGAAGCCCGGAACCCCACACTCAATCGAAAGAAGGAAGCCCTCAACCGTAAAAGCCGGGAACCTTAGAGGCCCCAGCCGAGGCCCTCAACCCTACACCGAAAACCCGAAGCCCTCGGTTTAGGGTTTATGGTTTAGGGTTTAGGGTTTAGGGTAAACTACAAACCCCTAAACCCAAGACGTTAAATCCTGAACCTTAAAACCCCCAAACCCTCAACCCGAAACCCCTAAGCCCTAAATCCAGAACCCCTAAACCCCTAAACCCTAAACCCCTAAACCCCTAAGCCCTTGAACCCTAAACCCTAAATCCTCAGCCCTCAACCAAATGGGGGTTTCCGAAAATAGGGGACCCTAATATAGTACCCTGAATAGTAGGACCCTTATTATAAGGACCCCACAAAAGGTAACCCTTGTTTTCGGAAACTCCCAAATGAGGCTTGGCATGGGGATCGGCGCTCCGCGCTGTTGGACAGCCCTGGCGGGTGTCGGGGCTGCGATTCGGAGGTTGCCGGCTTTAGAGCTTCTGTCCTTTTTTGAGTTTCAGGGTTTAGGGTGTTTGGGTTTAGGGTTTTAGGGTTCAGGGGTTTAGGGTTTAGGGTTCAGGGTTTAGGGGTTACAGGGTTTAGGCTTCAGGGTGCAGGGGGTGCAGTTTCGGGTTTAGGGTGTAGGTTGTAGGGCTTCAGTGGTTCAGGGCCTTGTTTGTCCTAAGAGTTGTCGTTCCTAACCGCAAGCCCTAGCTAGGCAAAGAGGAAGCAGTTCAGGAAGTGGTGTAGGGCTCAGGGTTTCCATGCTGTGCTCAGTGCCTGGTGAAAAGGGCCAGATAGTACAGAAGCCTAAATAAATACCACTGCCTCGATTCATTCTTATGTATTCAGAATACTGATGATGTAGCACACCCTGTTCTAATTGTTCAGGCCCAAATCCCAAAATCCATATAGTCCTGACATAGATACAGTAAATGGCGCCAAAGAAGGGTTCCTTTAGGGGTTCCATAGGGGTTCAAGGACATAGTGGCCCGAACAGTCCGTCAGCGTATTCTCTAAGGGTTACAAGGTACCCATACGCCCCACAACCTGAACCTCTCTCCCCCTGGTGAGGCCCTCCCGGCAACTAGACCCCTAAATCCCTGAACCCTAAACCCTAAAACCCTAAGCCCTAAATCCTAAACCCTAAAACCTTAAATCCTAAACCCTAAGATCCTAAACCCTAAATCCTAAACCCTGAAGCCCTAAAGCCCTAAACCTCGGAGCCTTACCCTCCCTTCCTCGAAAGGCCTTGAGTTGAAGAATCCCGTTACACTTGGGTACTTGTGAAGATCAGGTTCTCTTTTGGGTTCCCAAACTGTAGGGGTGCCGTATATAGACTATAGAGAGTAGAATTATATACGGTTCCCTAAAGGGTAGGGTTTAGGGGTTTAGGGGTTAAGGGTTAAGGGTAGAATTATATACGGTTCCCTAAAGGCCCCATCCCGTGTCTTAGTCAAGGGGCCGGGTTCATTCAACATCAGGTTCTACATGAGTCTGGAGCCTACTCATCACTGTATACACGTCAAGCCTCTTCTGCGCTAGTGGGCACACCCTAAACCCTGAGCCCTGAACCCTAAACCCTAAACCCTTGAACTTCTGAGTGCCTTACTTATATAGATCTGCATCCGAAGGTCGCGTTCTGCCCATTCCCTCCACCCTGAACCACTACCCTGAAGCTTATAGACTTTAGGTTCAGGGTTTGGAGTTTCAACACCTAAACCCGAAACCCTAAACCTGAAACCCAGAACAGCCCCAAAGACCAACAGCCCCACGACATGAACCCCTCGAAAGACCCTGAAGCCTCCAAGCCCCAGCCCCAAATCCCGAGCCCCTCTGAAGGTTTCAGACCTAAACCCTAAACCTTAAACCCTAAACCTTAAACCTTAAACCGTAAACCCGAAACCTTAAACCCTAAACCCGAAACCTTAAACCCTAAACCGTAAACCCTAAACCCTGGAAAAAGGAGCTTAAAAAAACTCAAACCCTAAACCTTAAACCCTAAACCCTAAAGCCTAAACCCTAAACTTTAAGTGGACGAGGAGTTTGGGGTTAAAGGTGAGGGTTTGGGGTGGGGTGCCTTTGTACAAACACACAACAAATCGGCTCACTACCGTTCCTAAGGATCCCTATGTGCACCCACTCACACCCCCAGTCGACGCCTTGTCCCTTGATGATCTGGTAACCCTAAACCCTACACCAAACCCTAAACCTGAAACCATGAACCTTAAACCCTAAACCCCTAAACCCCCAAACCGTAAACCCTAAACCTTAAAACTCTCCATCCCATAATGAAGTCCCCACGTCTTTTCCCTTGAGGCCTGATCTGGATGCCTACTATATCTCCTCGTAGTGACCCCGCTGTCTCTGCAGCCCAGCGCGAACGGCGTCAGATATTAGGATGTGGGTCCTTCGTGGCTAGTTCTCTGAATCAGGGTCCCTAGTTTAATTTGGGAGTTTCCGAAATTAGCGGTGCCTTATTTTGGGGTCCTTATGATAAGGATCCTACTATTTAGGGTACTATATTAGGGTCCCCTATTCTCGGAAACCCCCATTTAGAAAACTGGGATTTCGGGGCATGAGGCTTCAACTTCTGTTCAGGGCACGATCATTGCGGCTTAGGGAGCCAGCGAAGCCTCGAATGCCCATAACCCCTCAAGCCCAAAGTAAAGCCTAAGCCCGTAAGGTTCTGAACTTTACTTGGTGGTTTAGGGTTTAGGGGTTAGTCCCGTTTAGGTCGGGCTTCAGTTCTATGCAAGAGCTACCCGAGCAGCTGATATATGGTCCTAAACAATTACCAGCCCTAAACCCTAAACCCCTAAACCCCGAAGCATGATCTCTTGCCGACCCTGAGCCTTTTAATGTAGGGGCCTAAATAATTACGAATACTATTTTGAGGGTTCCTTATTATAGTTATAGTATAATGGGCCCCAAAACCCTATGCTAGTTGTTAAGGTCTCTACATTATGTTGGCTGTTGAGCCCGCTGCAGATCTGCCTGCTCAAAGGTAGTACTGTGCAGTTGTTTACTTTCAAGACTTTGGGGTTTCAAGGGTTTAGGGTGGAGGGTTGAGGGTGGAGGGTTTAGGAGTTAGTGTAGAGGGTTATAAGGTATGTGGGCATGTGTGTAGCTTCAGGGCTGCATTGCCTCTGACTGGGCTGAGGGCGTCGGAGCAAGCAAAGGGGCAGACAGGGGCAGAATGTAGTGCCTGCATGAGTCTTCCGCCGTCGTGGGTTTGCTCACACGCTTCGGTGTCTGTGGCACGATCCTTTCTAGCATGTCCCTGAAGCCCAAGCCCCAAACCCAGTGTCGGGTTTTAGGGTTCAGGGCTTAAAGATTTGATTCCCACGTTTTCAGACTTTTTGGAGCATGATTCTCTCGCACTGCCTGGCGTTGGGAGACCAACCAACCAACAAACCACAAAAAGACAGAATCGAAATCGTAATGCCTAAACCCTAAACCCCTAAAACCCTAAACCGTGCTAAGCCCTAAACCCTAAACCCCTAAACCGCCTAAACCCTAAAACCCTAAACCCTGCTAAGCCCTGACCCTCGATCCTCTCCAGCTTTAACCCTTCAGCCCGATACCCCTAAGCAAACCTGGTTTGGGGTTTTAGGGTTTAGGGTTTAGGGTTTGATAGTTTAGTAGCCCCTATAGGATAGCCCCTTGCAGGAACCCACAGAGGAACCTCGTTGAAACCCTACAACCACATTTAAAAAAACCTACGTCCTTCAACTACACCCTAAACCCTTAACCCCCCAATTCCTAAACCTACACCCTCAACTCTGAACCCTTAAGCCCCAAAACCGCCAAACCCTCCCTGCTTTGCCACGACACGCCGTAGCAGAAACCGCGAATCTCTCCGAAGTTGGACAGAAAAACGGTGAGCTTCGGAGGGAAGAACCCAAAGATCCCCTGCTCGAGTGAGGGTTTAGGGTAAAGGGTTTCGAGTTTAGAGTTAGGGTTTAGGGTAAAGGGTTTAGGGTTTAGAGTTAGAGTTTAGGGTACGCTGTTTAGAGTTTTGAGTTGGGTTTTGAGTTAGGGTTCAGGGCGTAGGCTACAGGGTCTGTGATTTGGGAGGGGTTAGTGTTTATTTATGGTTTTGGGTTTAGGGGTTAAGGTTTTGAGGGTTCGGGGTTGAGGGTCTCGGATCTCTTTAAGGTCTTTATAGCAAGTCTTAATAGGGTGGCGCAAAAGTTCTTTGATACAGGTTCCAATCCAGCTAGGGTATTTGTAACTTCGACAAAAAGCCCTCCTTATGGTTTCTGCACAGATATCTCCTAAACCCCTAAACTGTAAGCTCCTTCAAAAGGTAGGTCTTTTGGGCCACATGTTAGCCCTACAAACCCGCCTAAACGCGTACTGGAAGTGAGAGTTCAAGCAGCAACAAACAGCAAACATCTGCAACAAATAAAAAACATCAGCAACAAAAACATGTTTCTGCAACAATGACTTGCGCTTGACTCGAGCCGTTTCGGCTGACGGAGCGAGGAAGGAAGGCGGAGGCCTCAGGGAGTGGAGACCTCATGGAGGCCTTGGCCGACTTCACAGGCCCGCCCAGCTCTGCTGCATTCTGCGCCGCTTTTGCTTAGTTGTCGT